CCACACACGCCCCCCCCACCCTGCCCCCCCCTGCCATACACACAGACTCCCACACCCCTCACACACCTCAACCACCCTCCCCCACACACACAGCCCCCCATAAACCCCATACCCACCCACATCCCACATATCCACACCCACATGCTCCCTCACCCCACACCCACACCCCCACAGCTATCCCCCCCACAGACACACCCACACCCACCCTCCACCACACCCCATATACCCACATACCCACAGCTCCCCACAAACCTATACCCACCCCCCACACAATATATAAGAGTAAGACTTCATTTTAAGCTCTTATATACAATCACCTCTACACACACTATACAAACATGTAAACCAGGCCAAAAATATTTTTTTGAAATCAAACTAATGAATGTTTTAGATGTTCCCTTTTTAGAATATAATTTGGTATTTTTTCTCGTTCTGAGATAGCAATACCCCTTGCTGAAAGGAGTATTTCTGGGGGCAAGGGGTGGAACTTCTGGTGGCAAAGGTCAGGGGTTAGAGGCTGGGACTTCCAGTCACAAAGTGGTGACCAGGGGGCAGGGCACCTGTCAAGGGCGGGGCTACCCATGCAACCCTCGACAGCTTGCCAAAACTCGGGAAGCAGCCCTTTGCCCAAAATAATTGCCCACCCCTGCCCTTAGCAATCAGTTTGTTGTTGGGTCACCTGTGGAGACCTCAGAAATGAAAACTTCCCTCCATGAGCAGAAATCTTGGAGAAAAGCATACATTAGAGCCATCACATGCTGTTATGTGAGGATAACTTCCTAGGAGTTTCAGGTTGGCAAACACAGGTGCAATTTGTACCTCATTCTGCTGGCTTGGTTGAATATGGCTCAAATGTAGCTAAAATTGTGTTTCTTTAGACAGATTAATGTCAGAGGCAGTCATGCCAGTAGGAGACAGATTATCTCATGTGGGGAAAGTATGTGCGCTAAGAGACTGCAGAAGGGTCATGAAGTTCCAAGCTTGTTACTGTAATGTCTGTCAATAAAATACAACAAACAAAATTGTTCTAGTAGGTGACATTTCAAGCAATCCTACAGATTAAAGGAAATAAATAGTTATAACAATGTTAGCATATATCCTATTGTGGTATAGGTCCTCTAAAGAAGCTCCTTATAAACAGCAACAATAGCTCAAATCATCAACAGTTTAATGAGTACTAGGAGCCACCAAAAACTGCCAATCCACGTTGAACCTAAACACAGTGCCCTATTCTTTGTATCTGCACTAAGCCTTTTAAATCTACCAATATACAAGCTCCAAGATGCAGTACCCTAAAGATTACACCCACCCTGCATCAGATCTACCAGTTCAGACCCCCGCTGGTCAGCATCAATAGTAGAAATACCATTTCTTCCTGTTTATAACA